TGAGTCGGCTGTGGGTCGATCGATTCATAACATAAACATTTCATTGGATGGTTCTGATGGAGTCCGGTAGTACCTACCTACCTAGCAGCAGTATCTTACATTTTATTTCAATGTGACAAGATGCCAAAACGACAACATACAGTTCTAATCATGACAAGTTGGTGTTAACAAATACCTACTATGACTTTACACTACATTTGTCCAGTATTCATCATTAATTCCACTTAGGTTCATTGTAGCATGCACAAATGCGCATGCAATTAACTCTGCAATTTCCTTTGAAGTCTGTTAAATGTTAAAATTAATGTAGGTACCATATTCCTCTTATGTATTATTATATTGTATTTAAATACGATCAACGAATTATACGATGTCGATCGAAGTGACGTGCAATGGGGGAGGCCTATGTCCAGCAGTGGACTGCGATACGCTGATGATCATGATGGATTTAAATATATAAACATAAAAAAACATTAATCTATAAAATGATACACAACACAGGCCACCGGCGCGGCGGACTGGAGTTTTTTTTTTTTTTTTTTAAAGACAACTCCCGCATTAGGAATATATCCTGTGTCGCGGGGGACTTTACAAACATACATGAAACGGACACAAAGAACACCCAGACTTAGAACAACAATTTGTGGATCACACAAAGTGTCGTCCCATGTGGGGTTTGAACCCACAACACTCGGCGCAGTAGGAAGCGGCGTGGCGACCGCTTAAACCACTGCGCCATCCGTGCAGTCAAAACCACCATTTACCATGTTGCTCTATGCACAAACGATAAAATAAAAATGTTGCAAATAAAGTTGGAAAAAAAGATTATGTCGCAAGTTAATAAAAAACAGGTACACCATTTAAATGGGCTGTTTCTAAAGAAAGAAAGAAATCTAAATCTAGCGCCATCTATTGTAAATTCATTGAACTTACTAATAATAATATTTTGTTCTATAATAACCATTTCTTCTTCTGATTTGTTATTTGTATGTTATTTAAAATATTGATATTAATTACCGAGATAAAAAACTACCCTAAACTTAAGCTGGTCCAAATCACACATAGCAAAGCATAGCAAATTTTTATCAATAACGATTAAGTAGTTTCGAAGTTCATCGTGAACAACATCGTAGTATATGCTTTATATATCGTATAGCATTCGATATAATAGATTAGCAATTAAAATGGATCAGACTTGGACAAAGAATTAAAGTAACACAAAGAATATCAGCAAATGCAACTATGTATAAGCCAATTATTGAAAAAACAAAATACCTGACTCCGTGAAATCCATCGAGTCGTTCAGGCTGCAGAACGTGCCAAACATTTAAATTTGGCGATAAAAAATTTGTTTTGATTTTATTTTGATATACCCAGTGTCACTCTCACAGTAAACACGAATCTAACGACACCTCTCAAGCTAAAATCCATGCAGCCGTTCAGGCCGCAGAGCGAGTTAAATAATTATACATACATAGATACATACATACTCTCAAAAAACATAACCCTAATTCTGGCGCAGTCGGGTAAAAAGTTACAATAAAGTAGAATTTAACAAATATTTTAAAAAATGTAGTTGTTTACAACTTCTTTAACATTCTATATAATAGTCTGATCGGAGATCTTAACTATCTTTGATTAACACAACCCGTGGGTATTAGTGCGTATATTTTCAGACAAATGTGTCGAACCTGGGCCACGACTTGCTCTCGGGCACGTACCGCACACAGACAGCATTTTCAAGGGGTGGCAAAAACAAAAATCAAAACGAAAACGAAACATTCTCATAATTTGCATGTCTAATATATTTTTATTATTTCATAATAGTAACACTGTTGATAGGTGTACGAAAATAATTGCAAACATTTATAAGCTTCGATTACTTTATTAGGTAAACGTAAGAATGTATAATCAAGAATCACTCAAGGCGCGGGCGCGGGATTTCCGAATATCCCTCACAAAACACGGTACCCTCTGATACCGGATTCTTCTGCGAGCAAATAGTGCGGAAGATTGGGCGATGTAAGACCAGGACGGGCTTAGAACCCTCTCCCAAGCGCCGGAGGTAGCTGAATGATCTCCATCCTCCACAAGCACAAGATACAATTATGATCAGTCACTGATCATAATTGTATCGAAATAAAGTAATATGATTTCTAAACTTATTTGAATACTCATTTATATCCTTCATTTGGAAGTAATGTATCTAAACTTTAAGAACACTTGGTTGCTTCTCCGTTTATAGAATTATAATATAAACATAATAATGTTTCAATGTGATAAAATATCATTTTGACGTCCCCTGGATCGGGCAAATGGCGTCCACACCAAATCTCCATCCCGAACGGATTTGAGCCTCATGCCTAACTTCGCTGCATGTCTTGTCGATTCTCTTCGCCTCATCTGTCACTGTTCGTCGCCAGGTTTGTCTTGAATGATCACATTGGCGCTCTCCCTGAGGGTTCCATTTCAGTGCAGAATGAGAGAATATTATAACAACTATAGTATTAAGGTAGTTATCAGATATAGAAATGAGTGAAAAAATAATTTTAAGAGGCATGAGAATCCTAAAATTATTATGATATTCGCATTTACAGCGCCATCTGTTCAACAAATGTATTCTACTGTTTATTTTGATGACATGGTTTACCTGACTTTTACTAGATGGCTTTATATTAAAGCTATTTCCTTATGGAGGCCTAAATCATTTTTCAGGTTTTTAATACATTCGATTCATTAATTTAAATAATAGTATGTACTCGTATACTGTGCCAAACTCCCTTATCCCTTTAATCGATCTCAATCTTGTCCCCTATATTGTCTTTTTAGTTCGAGTTTTCAGTTATTTCTATTCAGCTACTTCAAAACACCATCTAAAGAAGAAAAAAATCATTACACTCCGAGAAGCCAGAAGAGGCGGCAGTCCTGCGCAGGTCGATAATGGGTAGTATTAAGCAGCTTTAAGACTTAAGGAAAGTGATGGTTTAGTTACAGACACCATATGTATAAACATACTTGTAGTGTACGAAACTCATTGAATTAGTTAATCCTATTTTTTAAGAAATGTTTAATTAAAGCTTTTTGTTGTTAGACATATTAAAAGCAGCATGCCACCATAGATGAAGAATATAAATAATATGAATTTGCATGCACCGCATTGCACCTATTGTACTTATCTTACGAATAGGAGAAGCTCATCGTAAGATAAGTACAGTTGCAATTATGAGGGCGTTGCTTTTTTTTTTTAAATTGGCTTTATTATGTACGTTATTCATACAGACAGATTCAATTATATACTCAATATTGATGTAATCTGCACTTGAGTACACTTGGACACTTCCAAAGAATTTGACTCACTATCACAAGATATTTGTGAAATATCTAAATTCCTTCTGGTAGAAAATACGACTAAAACAGCCTTGTGGCACTTGATTTTTAGATATGTTTAGATTTTATCATGTCTATATGCTCTTTGTATCTTTTGATCAACGACACTAATCTTCAGATGGTATTTATGAAACCATAGCAGAAATATTAGTAGTAAGTATGACCACGTGTCTGCGTTCCCAACTGAACTGGTTACCCATTCGCATGCATCGCAAGCTCTGACTTCTTTATTTTTATTTCTTAGCTCCGCATTCTCACTTACTTACCTTGCTCCCTACCTCCGTTTCTTGTCGTCTAATGACGACAGGATTCTTCGCTTTGCAAATAATTTGCTTCTCACATGCCCGATATCACAATTCCGACTTCGTGAACTCTTCGTTCAAGCAGTTCTACTCTGGAATGCGCAAACCGCTCCGTATTTAATAAGAAAGTACATGAAACGGTAAAGTACATGTAAATGAAACGGCAGAATCATCAAATCGATAGCGCAGCAACCAATTTTCCTACACACACGGTGAAAGAATAAAATGCGAATATATGTTTGTATGTGTGTAGATACACATATATATGTATAGTGTATCAATGTGTATGTATAGTGTGTATTTGCTTGTGTATAAAATTACGTGTGTTGTGTTGTGTAGTATTTATCTTAGTGATGAGTGTTATAACCTACATATATGCGCCTACCACTCACGATTTCTACACTACCTAAAGGTTGAATGGCAGAGAATGCCTTAGGCATGAAGTCCGCCGATGTACAAAAGTGTATAAAGTTATAAATAAATAAATGAAGAAAATATTAGAAACGGATTTGGGCAACGGCTGTTCTACCAGTATATATATTAGAATACACAATTTAAAGTAAGTCAGGCAGTCAGAGTTATTGTTTTCTGAACTATCTGTGTTAGACAACTGAAGTTTTTTTTTTGGTTGAGTGCTTTTTTTTAAACTTAATGGACTTACAAAGGCGGACTTAATGCCGTGAGGCTATCTCTCCCAGTCGACCTTCAGGTGATGTAGAAATATGGTGCGGTAGGTGCAAAAAGGGTCGTAGTTCATAATAGTTTGGTAAATGGGAGATAAACCTACATTAGATACTACTAGCACCACTACTTAGATATAACTAATATTTATATAAATACATTGTTGTATTAGATTTTAAAAAAAAGTTTGTGTTGCTCAAGCGCTACATTTCTTTCAAAATACAATGAAAGCGTGTTGTTAGAAAATGAAACAAGTAATTTTTCTTAATTTTTATTTTATATACAAATAGAAATTCCCTTAGGAAAATAAACTTACTTAAGACTTAAATTATTATACTGTACATAGTTTGTACGTCGGAACACGGGCAGTGTGAAGAGATCCCGATGAATTGAAGTTATGGCAAGTTTTGGAAATGTGCTTGTGCTTAAATAAATATTATGAAGTGCTGTTCTTTATGAAAGAAAGTGATAAGTTATTATCCTGGCTTAATCTTAATAAACCGAACAAAATACTGGTAACTAACTTTATAACCAGATCCTTAATTCCTGACGTCGAAGTTCACGACATCGACGTCACGATGTTGTACTTTTTGAGTATGTTTTATGTGAAATAATTTAGAGTGAGGCAGATCAAAGGCGGATGCCAGGGTTGGTGCTGGCGATGTAGTTTAGCAGTTCATCGTTGTCCTCACAGACGACTGGCTTTTCGTGGTAGCAGGCGACATCGTGCCAAGCAATACCGTCGTTGTATACATTGTTAAGTATACTGAGGCAGGATTCGGTAGTGCCGTTGATGTCGAACTCAGCATTGTCAGGTTGGCGTTGCTTCTTGTGGCCAGTCTGAGACCAAGGGTTGTAGCCCCACCCATTGGCAATCTAGAAGAAAGTCATGCAGTTAATTGATACTATGTGTATTGAAGATAATGGACTACAATAAGCTAACATTGCACACAACAAACTGGACCTACAAATATTTTCTTTGGGTCATCTTATTTTATTGTGGATAGGAATAGCACCTATTCAGTTATTCGAATCGACCAAGACCTTTCGAATAGGAAGTTATTATTTACTGCAGCATCGCATTAGTTACATTCCCATAAAGAGGTCATACGAAGATGACAATATGTGATGCCTGTGTCAATGGGAAAACCAGGCTTACCAGCAATGTGCCTGTGTATCCAGTAGTGTACAAATACTTAATTACTTACTATTTAACTTTCACAGAGCAAACCTATTGTTCATACAGGTGTATCGTTGAAAGTTCTAGTACTTAAGTACGTGACGGTAATGGGAAGTTTCCCTATTGCTACGGCGACCATATGAAACGAATTCGTTCCGTTTGACATTTAGGAATTTGAAATATTCTTTGGTCTATTCCTATTCATCTATGTATCATATAAATTAACTTAAAAAAGTGGCAGGCGAAGAGCCTATAAATAATTCAAATTATTTATAAATATCTTCTTGGTACTTGATTTGTAAAGTCTGACATAGACATCAGTTATACAGCTTTTTGAGATGAGCTTTTACATTGAATGGATAAATTGACCTATTGTATTTGGATAGAACATTATTTATTATTCAAAGTAAGTTATAAAACCTACTATAGTTTAAGTAGTTTAATAGAATAGCAAATTAAATAACAAACCTGGTTAGTAGGAGTGATCTTCTCTCGGTTGGCAGACCAGAACCAACCATACAGGTTTTTGGGTTCCAAGTCCTTGCGGCCTTCGCATCCCTTAAAATCACACAAACGACCTGACGTCCATATGTATGGTACATCATCTGCAATAAATTAAGAACGATAAATTTATTAATACTAGAAGTCTATCGCACCTAGGTAATTACCTAAATTAATAGTTATTAAAAATGATCCTTCCCGAGAAACCATTCGATAAACTGGGATTACATTATATAGATGTACGAGTATAATATGGTACTACTTCATTTGAATGTATCATAATTTACTGCCATAATTAGTAACAAAAAAAATTTATTAAATAAAATTATTAAGTACTCACTTTCTTGGATAAGTTTGAAAATCAAGTTGTTTTCTTCTTGTGTCTCCATAGAAACTAGGTCCATACAATATTCACGGCAAAGATTTCGGCCATCTAACCAGTCGAACTTCTTGCCACGGAGAGCTGGCACGTGACCACTGAAAAAGTAGTTGCGACCTCGGTAGAAGAACTCTTTCGGCCCTGTAATCAATAAAAAAGGACACCTTAACTTCCATCGTGTTTGTGTTCTTTAAAACCGTAACTTCTGTATTCTTACATAAAGGGAATTCTTTGTGCCTATTTTAAAACAATTTGAGGCAAGGTTTGTCACATTTGTATACCATGTATACCTAAATTTTATAAGTTACACTTTTAATCAACATGTGTTATATAGTTTAAAATAAGTGAAAAAAGTTACAAGACTACAGTTAATCTCTTATCTATATAGGCATATACAAATATGTTATGTTGGTTTGTGTACGCTTCAAACACTCAAAGTTCTGCACCGATTCAGCTCAAATTTTCAAACGTTATACAAACTACTTCAAATATTGTTTTCATCTATTTTCACAACCACAATGTGCCACAGCAGAGCGTAGCAGGCTACAGCTAGTTCTCTATAAAAAGGTGGTATACTGTGAGGCGATGCTGGCTTAATAATGCATTATCAGTTGCAATACGATGAATGCGACAAGGCCAAGCGTACGACACATTCTACTATACATGTTATAAATGGTATGCTGTTTTTTTTGTTAGCGAAGTGTTAATAGACTACAATGACGACCCTCTTAGCAACAGGTCGGGTACATGACCATATGAAATTGTTGTATCATGGTCGTGACATTGAAGATTCCTTCTAAGAAACAATTGTGTTAAAGTATCGTGAATCGGTGTCGCAATGAGCCAAATAATTACATAAGAAGCTTTCGACCTTTCCGATCGTTGGCATACGTAACGATATATTTCAAGTTTTATAAAGTGAAATATCAAGAATGCAAATTATTCAAATTGAGATCAGTTTACATAATATGTGGTCCGATACGAAGATATTATTATATTTTTTGTTTTTCAATCTGCGACTCCTATTAAGCTCGTGATGAATTTAATTTACATTTAATTTATTTATTGCCTAAAACATATTAGTCAATATTCAGCCTATTGGTAGAAGCGATATGTTTCAATAAAGGTAATCAAAATTGTACTTTTGTTGACATCGCCCTCTTTGCAGTTGGTGATCTTGTTCAACAGTAAAATAAACGGCTGTCTGCTGTAATGATCTTCCCATTTACAACACTTTAATTGGAACAAAAGTCTGTGAATACTTTTTACGACATCTTTGTTACACGATTTGTAATGGGACGCCTATTACTGATTTTAATTATGCACCCAAAGCGTAACTGACTTCAATATGCCTAAATACGGAAAATTATAAGATATATATTCTTCATCTCTACTTGGTCACCCTTAGAGATCGAATTTATCTAAGTTATTACAGAATAGTTCAAACCGTTCATCGGGTGTGTAACGTTTAAAATAATAACAAAAGTTTTAATGGTCATATAACCTAATTTTGTATTATATAAATATATTTTTAAAATATAATAATCAAATGATATAATGAATTTGGCTGGCCTGTTGGTCTAGTGTTAAGTGACCCTAATTGTTACGGCAGAGGTCGTGGGTTCGATTCTCACCCAGGACAAATAATTGTGGGATGAGCACAGTCATTTGTTCTGTGTCTGGGTGTAATTTATCTATAATATGCATGTTTATCTGCCTATTTTGGAATCAGACGGCCGTGTGTGAGATGTCTGTGGTTATTATTATGATTGAATGGCAACCCGTACAATATTTATTATTGAGAAGATCCTTAGTAGACACTTGAGATTACTTATATGAATTTCTATTTCGATTAGAAAATAGAAAGATCATCACTATTAGTTATTACTCAGATAAGTTTTTTGTCCGAAATTTAAATTGTTCTAAAGATTTTAAAAGATTAAAGTGAAAAAGCCAATAAAATTTTCAAAAATGTGCTCTTTCAAGTGGCAGTAATTACCTATTACAGAAACAGAACTAACGAAGTTCGGTCAATAGTATAGTAACCCTAGCCAGTTCAAGAGCTAAATTACCCAAATACATAATAAAACGCACAGCTCATTCAAGTGCTGGGCACAAGCATTCGCGCGGCTTAAGACGTTACTTTTGCATACAAAGGTCCTGCAGTATGCAAATACGTTCAAAAACATTAGCGACCCACATTCTACCGACATACTTAGAGCTCGCTAGCACGTTTTAATTCTGTTTCATCATTAAATCAAATATATGCGGACCATAAAGCTGTTTGTTCTAAGACTATATTAGGTATGTGCGGAATGATTTTGGCAGACGATGTTGCAACTTGGTTTGCGGCTGCGGACTTCGCCGCGGTGCAAACAGATGCGCCGGGTCACGCGGTATGCCAACTGGGCCAAGGATTGCTACCGGATGATATTTTTATATTTACCGAAGTTATTACAGTTACCGGATAGTTTCTTTTTAGTCCATCATTCATTTAGATGTCACATTGGACATCGCTGTCAAATGGAATTTCAGTAGAAGAAATAAGAATAAAACTTTGATAACCGTTGTTGTTGCAAAATATTACTATATTTTGTTGTTATTGTTGCAAAATATTACTATGTTTTGTTGTTGTTGTTGCAAAATATTACTATATTTTGCAACAACAACGATTATCAAAGATTTACTGACTTAAAATTTTACATTTGAATAAATAGTGAAACTCATCTATAAAAAATGGTAATAGATAAATAGTAAAATGTATGCCAGAACAACTTTGTAAAGTATAAAGTTACGTCTTAAAAAGCGTGAAGGTCCTAACTTTTTTGTACACGCGTCCGGTTTCGATGATAATTATAGTCAATTGCAATATCAGCAATGAGTTTTGATTACAATGTGAATGTGTTGAGGTTCACACGACGCTGTATAATTATTGGTTAGACCTTGCGCAGTGACAGACTGACGAATATGTCATTGTCTGATGAAAATCCGGCACAGAGGTTATAGGCATCGTGAACCATCATTAAAATATGTAAGTATGTCTTGTTAACCGCTAGCTACAAGTTAACATCATACTACTACAGTCAATATGGTCATTTAGGAACACTTCTATAGAAGAACCGAAATCAAAATTACCAGAGTTCTCAAAAATTCATTGCCCAAGGCAAATATCTTATGAAACATTGAAAGTAATCGTGTGTAGAGACGAGTATAATTCATAAAATAACCGGATGAAAAACGTTTGCATCAAAGATGTTTTATAATATAGAGTCATGCCATATCGAGTTAGTGCTTCTTCTAATTACTATTCTATTCTTCTTCATTATATCCATAATGGAGAAGAGTACCTGTACCTCTTTGGAGCCGAAATGGCACAGGAGGTCTTCAAAGTTCATGATGGAATTATCTAAATTTGAATATTGTGTCCGTGTGGTGATGGATTAAGAATACGGAGTGTCATCACCCCTGTTCATTCCGTGGGTATCGTAAGAGCCGACTAAGGGAGCAAATTACGCAGAACAACAGCACTGCAAAGAGATGAAAAACTTGACACAAACCCTATACAAACCCGTCCGGCCAGCGTGGTATAGTAGGCCAAAACCTTCTTTCTAATTAGAGGCCTATGTTAAGCAGTGGACTATTAAAGGCTGTTGATGTGATGTGATGTGAATATAATAGTGAATATTCACATCACTGAATATGACTAACAATCGATGGGGCGCTGAATTTTGAACCAACTTCAATGAGCAGTAGAGCTGACACTGTATAGACATTCCTTACTTTGACAGGTAAGCTGTTTAGTAAGTACTTGGTAAATTTATACGGGGTCCCTGTAGATTTTTAAAAGCGTTATCAATTTTTGTCACCTTATTAACATATATGTTAAAAGTTCTAGCTTTTTGCACTGGCCCTTACACACATATGACAAACCCACACGCAAGTAAAAGATTTCTTTTCACGTATTAATTTAACCCTTTATTATCCGCCTTAGACAAAGAGAGGTATGTTTCTATCGCAATAGTTTCGTTCGTCAGAGTTAGGAAATACAAAGTGGTATTTCAAACTGCTACAATAAACCTTTATAACTCTCGTAAATGGCAATTAGATGTGTAAATATGCAGTAGGTGCTTAATTCAAATGTCACCGTTAACATGTCAGAAAAAAATGTCATGTCTTTTTTTGCATATACCACTTACAAAATGAAAAAAAAAACTTTAAAAAAGGAAACAAAATCATTACAAACCTATATTTCATTTAAAAATCAATGTATTAAACGCTATAGATATGACTGCCAAATATTTTTATACTAATCGCCTAGTGATCAGATGTTGTTGACTTTTTAACCGACTTCCAAAACACAAAAGAGGAGGTTCTCAATTCGTCTGTATTTTTTTTTATGTATGTTTGTTACGCGATTTCTCCGTCAATTGTGGACCGATTTTCAAAATTCGAAAGGGTATGCTCCCGAATTGGTCCCAATACCACCAATTCAGGATCTGATGATGGGATCCTAGAGAAATCGAGGGAAACCCTCACAATTATTGGGAATTTGACAGCCCCGACAACGTGTTTTAGCTACGAGTATTTCTTTAGCCAAACAAACCATGGCAACCGTCAGAGACTGCGCGATGTGATGGGCAGAGAACTTTCAGTATTTATGTCACCACAGTAATTTTCGTTGTATTAAGAAGAAAAGGTTGAAATTTTGTACTATATCTTGTTAAAAAAATTCGGATAGACGTTTTGTTGCTATGGATGGCATCGCATTTCGTTTGTAAGTAATTTTATACTTAATTGATTAAAATAGTTCTGGAAAAAACTCTTAAATTTTGTGTGGGTCAACTAGGTTAATTTCTAACATACCAGTATTAACCCTTCTGGTTGGAACTCCTTCTATAAAATATTGAGCATATTTGTTGAGTAGTCTCACTAAAAATAAATTAAATTAATTTAAGGAGTTTCTAATATTTTTTGTTCAAATTGATTACATTAGCCGTGAACATATGCATGTACAATATGTACATGTACCTACTTTACTACTCTACAAGAAATGTGTACTGAAACTAAAAATGTTTTATTTGCCTTATATCCTAATCATACAACAAAACAAAATATCTTTTGAACGGAAAATCTGATTTTAA